CTTCAGTCAATCTGGCCACACTTTTCCTACAGCCTTTGCATGCAGAAGTGGGGCTGCCCGTAAGTCAAAATGGCCACCATCTCCCAGTGTTTTCAATGGGACTGAAGCCAGAGGTTAGGGGGGGGCCTGGGGAGTCCCCCTTGGAGATGCTGACCCAGAAGTTCATAGAGTCTTTGATTATAAGGCCAGAAGTCCCTGTGATCCTCTCGTCTGACCTCTCGCATAACACAGGCCATAGGACTTCCCTGAACTAATTCCTGTTTGAACTAGAGCATTATTGCTTGTGCACTTCCGGTTAAATGTTGATCCTGGTACATTCAGACTTACTCAGGGGTGGGAGACTCATAACCCAGAAGGAAAATTTGGATTTTTTTTTTAAATCTCATGATCGTTAAGCCACTCTCATGATTGTTGAATGTTTGGGATTGGCCCTACAGGCGATGACCTCTCTTCTGTCCAGTAGAGAAAGAAGTTGGGGCTCTTGAGGCCTGATAATCTCACCAGCAGAGAGGTCGTGGTATTAATAGTCTGTTGCAAACAGATGCCCTGTCTAACGAATTGTTCTGGGGTACAGCCAGTCTTTTCCCGTGAATCTTCCAGGCAGAGGGTGTTGTCTCCAGAATACACCGGTCATATCCACACAGCCCTGTCTTCTCCACCTTTTCTCCAGCTGCTGCCACTGCTGTTTGGATGGGGGATTCTGGGGCTGAGGCCTAGGGTCCCTGCTGTCCCCTGGAACCTCCCATTTGCCCAACAGACCACCTCTGGTTCTAACACAGGACCCTGCACATAATTTTTCTCCCTTTTCCTGATGGTGGCAGTTACAGGGTTTCCCTCCCATCCCATGTAACCTGCACCCAGGACCAGCAAAGCTTTAAGCCTTTATCAGTCTGAGTCAGGTCCCTTCTGATGTATAAGACCAGGGTCTACCTAGCCCCATCTAAAGTTTGGGCACTACAACTGCCAAAGCCCATAGTGACAATAATGCACCTGGTGCCTCTTGCCCTTGGTGTTCCAAGGTTTTCCCCAGACAGTTTTACAATCTTCCCAGAGCCCCTTGCTAGCTTTTGGTGTTACATTCCCACCCCTGCCAGGACCTGGGGGACCAGGTGAGCACCCTTGTGCTGCTCTGCCGAGCTTGCTGTTTCAACCTCTGATCTGTTTGCAAAGCTATTGTCCCAGTGAGATGGCTTCACACCCTCTTCCTTGCTCCTCAGATATGGCGGAACCCAGCATCTGACAAGTCACTTCAGTTTATAGTTGGTCTCATGGAGGATAGGTCCATCAACGGCTATTAGCCAAGATGGACAGGGATGCAACCCCATGATCTGGGTGTCCCTAGCCTCTGACTGCCAGAAGCTGGGAGTGGACAACAGGGGATGGATCACTCAATGATTGCTTGTTCCGCTTATTCCCTCAGAAGCACCTGGCATTGGCTACTATGGAAAGGCAGGACTGGGCTAGATGGACCATTGGTCAGTTCACATAGAGTCTCTCCAGGGAGTATCTGAGCACCTGCCTAGAGCTGTGCCAGGATGGCTTCTTAAGAGTCACTCATTTTTCTATTCAGTGTGAACTTTACGTGCCTTTCAAGGGGAGGGTGAGATCTATCTGCAAGCCTCTTCCTATCATGGCTAATCCCAAGGCTTTGCCCTGTGCTTTCTGCATATTTTACAGTGGTGCCTTTTTTTTTTTTAAAACAGCGAGATAACAATTGGGGATAATTATCGTGTTGTAAAATCCTAAGTGGAGACAAGCTGCTTATAGTGTTCACAAGGCAGCCGGGTGAGGTCAGAACTATGCCCCCCACCCATGGTTGACTTTGCCTGATTTACCTCACAGTAACTCCACTGTGTGTGTACAGCAGGAGAGCTAATACACCTCAATTATCCCACGGTTAAAAACCCCTTTTTTGTCAGTGAAGACAGAGCCCCAGTGTCCTCCCCTTACGGGGCTTTGGGAGCTCCAGCAATGGGAGTGCAGGAGCTGGACCACGCACCTTTCCCGTGTTTGATACCAAACCGTCGGGATATCTTTGAGGCATCACACGTGGATCGTCCTCTCCTCCCTCCATTTTCACTGGAGTTGTGGAGAAGGGACTGTGTTAACGTGAAATTGTGTGATAGGAGATGGTGTTATAACTGTTAAGTGAAACTCTGTGATGAGGTATGTTGTGGCACCAAGAACATGGGCTACCGGGTGCCCAGAGATGTAGAAGTTGGGACTTGTGTAGGGCCTCTCCACCTAGACAGCTCTTTTTGAGCTTTTGGGGGCTGAACATGAAGGTTGGTGGGTGGCTCTGAAAGAGACAGGGAGCAGGTGTGCAGAGGGGGTAGACTGTGATTAGGGAGAGCATGGCTGGGCTGTTATTGGATTAGACTTTCCCTCCTGCAGTGACATAGCAAGGTTACTGAACACTATTATATATATTGTATTTATTGGGGTTAGTAGCTTTTCAAACCCAGGAGACTGAGGTGTAGTCAATCAGGTTTTGAAGAGATCTGCAAGGCCCTTGAAATAGCTAAAACAGCCAGGATCAGTGCTGTTGACAGGGAAGTGTCCAGAGAGGAAGCATAGAGAGGTAGTGACCCAGAGAGAGCAGTGTTGAAGGTGTGTATCCAGGAAGGGGCAGGTCATGGCTGAAGCCCTGAAATTTCTCAGCAGAAGCCTGCAAATCTTCCCTGATGCCTTCAGAGCCATTTCTTCCATCAGAGCTTCTTCAGTCGGTGTTTGGAAAGTGATAAGTTGGCCGACAGCTCACTTGCTGGTTAGGGGTTGATGACACAGTGGTAACAATGCCAAAGTCCTGTCTACACTACAGCTTCCACTGTTGCTTCTGCCAACAGGGCTACACTGATGAATTACAGGTCCTCATTTTCCAACTGTACATGAGGCCTGTGTGCTGTGCGCTCCTTAGCTCCTCTGGAGCTGCAGGGAAGCAGACATCCAGTCACAAAACACAGGACTCACCATCCCCAGTGGAAGTTGAAGTCTAAACTCTGGTTTTGCTTTGCTGGCTCATGGAGCCCAAAACTACAGAATATCACATCATCTACATGGGAACAGCAGAACGGCTGCTCCCAAGTAAGAGTAACTCTCTCAGGCACTCAGTGTGGATGCAAAGATGCTGGGCCTTCATTCTTAGGTTCTGGCTACTCTGGTTCTTCCCCTGCAACATCTTGGGCTGGGTTCCTCTGAATGTTGCCTCCCCAACAAGGAAATGAAGCACTTATGTGGAGATGGGCAAGTGTTCTTCACTTACCAATGTAAACGCTGTAACAGTAAAACTGCCCCTGTGAATCGCTGGGCCACTTATTCCCATGGTGTACTGCTGGCTGGGCTGCAGTGAGAAAAGCAAAGCAGCACCGGGCTGCAGCTGGAGATATAAGGGCTGTCCTTGGATCACGTGTGTTACCAAGTGTCCCTGTTCTCAGCCAGAAACTAAACCCATCCGGGGAGACTGATAAAACATCATTACAGTGAGCTGGGACTCCACAGGGCAAGGAGCCAGGGCGACAACAGTGAGAATGGCAATGGGCAGCTACACAAGGGCCAAATCAAGAGAGTGGGTTTAACTGAGTCAAAGGAACAGGGAGAGAGAGGTAATTAAGTGTGCAGAGCAGTGATTGATTGACAAGGAGTGCTCTTCAGTACATTACAATCAAATCAGCAGGAAATAAATAAAAAATACCAGCAATTCAGAAGGGCAACCAATGAGGTAGGGAAGATCAGAAGATTTAAAACTAAGGCCCCAATCTTGCATTGAGCTACGCATGGGGACCCCAGTAGCCAGGCAGCATTCCAGAGGAATCTGCTCATGTGGAGCTCAGTGCAGGATTGGGGTCGTCTGATCAAAATCTCACACCAACAAAACTGAATCAGCAGTTGTGCTGATGGGCAGCTGAGCCAAGGAGCAACTGTGTGGTCTGGACAACGCAACGCACTAAAGAGAGTTAACAGGACAGGAGCAGAAAACCGGGGGGCGATGACTAAGTACAGAAGAGTACACAGAGAATGTAAATGCTTAGGCTGAGATAAGAGTCAGCTGGAAGAGCCAGTCGGGTGAGCGGGAGGCAGGGAGTCAATGCAGCAGACTTGGGCCCCGGTTACACGCGGCTGCTGGGAAGAGATGATAGAGGGCTCTGAAGCTCTGGTGAGGCTAGGTGCCACTGAATAGGGCAGAGTGTGGAAGAAGGTGGCTGTGCAGGGCCATAGAGGCAGAACTGGTTGGCAGTGGGGTAGGAGGTAGAGCTAGCCCAATGCCTTCCCCTGGTAGTGCTGTTCCTGGTACCACTGGGACTGGGGCCTGCCAGCCTCGCCGGGTCTGCCTTCACTACAGAGTTAACTTGAGTTATCCGCACTCCAGTGACTCCTCTCGAGTGAGCCAAGCTTGGCTGAGAACAGCCACGCTGCTGTGCCCACACAGGCTCTGCACTCCCTCGAGTACAGCGCTATGGCTTCTGGGCACACGCATTTCCCAGTGAGTAGTGGGAGAACTTGTCTGTCCTTTCTGGGCACGCTAGGGGACTTGTGGGAAGGCCCTGGAGAACTAGTGATATGCAAGTGACAAGCCTGGAGCCACACTACAGAGGGGCTGTGTTAGCAGCTGATGAGTTGTGCTCCAGTTTTAGCCTATGCCCCCTCCTTGGGCTGGCCAACTTGGGGTCACAGCACCACTGCACCCCACTTAAAGGTACTATATGTGGACGGGACTCGAGTGAGGGAGAACACTTGAGTTACAAGAAGTTAATTTGCAGTAAAGACAAGCCCCTAGAGTGGCCCTCTCCTCACTAGTTCAAGCAGGAAGGAGCAAGTCACTGCTGGGGCAGTTCCGGAATTGGGACACCTCAGAGGACTACGGTGAAGCCCCAATTCACGCCCCCTGGTGTCCGTGAGGGGGATGGTTCTGTTCGTGGGCATGGGGCTAGCTTCTCTCAGGCCCTGCTTCACGTTATTATACACACACGACCGGAGCGGAGCCCTCTGTTGGGAGGGTCTCACTTGTCCATGGCTGCGGCTCTGGCATGGATTCTCAGGTGACGGGCCAAAGAGGATTTGTTACTGAAGCTCTTCCCGCACTCGGCGCAGGGGAAGGGCCGTTCCCCGGTATGGGAGCGCTCGTGAATGGCGAGGTAAGCCAGGTACTTGAAGCTCTTCCCGCACTCGGCGCAGGGGTAGGGCTTCTCCTGTGTGTGAGTCCTCTGGTGCATCGTCAGGTTGGAGAGTTGGCTGAAGCGCTTCCCGCACTCGGCGCAGGGGTAGGGCCGCTCACCCGTGTGGGAGCGCTGGTGCTTGTTGAGGTCCGAGGGGTTGGTGAAAGTTTTCCCGCACTCGTCACAGGAGTAGGGTCTCTCCCCTGTGTGCAGCCTCTGGTGTGTAATGAGCGTGGAGAGGTGGCCGAAGTTCTTCCCACATTCGGCACAGAAATAAGGTTTCTCTCCTGTGTGGGTTCTCTGGTGGGTTTTGAGATGGGTCAGTCTGTTGAAACTCTTCCCACATTCAGGACAGGGATATGGTCTGTCCTTCTCATGAACTCTCCCGTGGGCCGTGAGCGCCTGCTTCTCCCAGAACCTTTCCCCACAATCTCGACATTTATGGGGCTTCTCTGTCCTGTGAATGCTGTTCTGATGGTGAAGGTCCCCTGTGGCCCGAGATCTCCCCGGTGCAGGAGGTTGGATTAGTCTCCTGAATCCACTCTCACGTTCCCCTAGGGGATCTGGCTCATTCCCCGCTGGGCTCCTCTTCTGCCTCTTGCAGGCTCCTTCCTGCTCAGGTTTGTGGTTAATGCTCTCTCCTGAATCCCGCAGAGAGATGCTGGGGGGCTGAAGGTTTTCAGGCCCTTCGTCATGAGGCTGCTCCTCAGTCCTGCTCAGGATCCTGGCATCTGCTGGATGGAAGAGAGAATCCAGAGATTATTTCATCTCTCGTATTTCCAAGTGGAAGTGGCTGAGGCTCCTCACATCCTTCCACTGGACAGACCCCAGAGAAGAGCCAAACAGTCAGCCATGCAGAAATAGGGAGCTGTGGAAGGGCACAAGCAGGAAGCCCCACATCACTTTCTCCTTCCTCTTTATCCAGGGCCCACGATAGCTTTTCCTCAACTCCCAACATTTCCCTCTCCCTCTGCTCCAGCCCCTCAATTCCCCTCCAAGCTCCCCCTCTCTCTTCCCTCTTCTCCTGACCATAGACCAGGGTTGGGCAAATTATGGCCCGTGGGCCAGATCCGGCCCGTCAGGGCTTTGGATCCAGCCCACAGGACTGCTACCCCCATGGCACTGTGGGCCCCTGGCCACTCCCGGAAGCACCCGGCACCATGTCCCTGTGGCCCCAGGGCGGGGGGCAGAGGGCTCCGTGCGCTGCCCTCGCCTGCAGGCACCGCTCCCTGCAGCTCCCATTGGCCGGGAACGGGGAACCACGGCCAATGGGAGCTTCGGGGGAGGTACCCGCAGGTGAGGGCAACACACGGAATCCTCTGCCTCCCCTGCCCTCCCCCAGGGGTCACAGGGACGTGGTGCTGGCCGCTTCTGGGAGCGGCACGGGGCCAGGGAAGCCAGGGAGCCGACCTTAGCCCTGCTGGGTGCCACTGCCACCCCAGAGCTGCTGCAGGTAACTAGCGCCAGGCCAGAGTCCACACCCTGAACCACATCTGCACCCAAACCCCCTGCCCTGAGCCCCCTGCTGCACCCCAACCCCCTGTCCTGAGCCCCCTGCTGCAGCCCACACCCCTCCTGCACCCCAACCCACTGCCCTGAGCCCCCACCTGCACCCCGCACTCCTCCTGTGCCCCAACCCCCTGGCCTGAGCCCCCTCCTGCACCCCGTACTCCTCCTGCACCCCCAACCCCCTGCCCTAAGCCCCTTCCTGCACACCGCACCCCCCCCACACCCCACACTCCCTCCCGTACACCAACCCCCTGCCCTGAGCCCCCTCCCACACTCCTCCTGCACCCCAACCTCCTGTCCTGAGCCTCCTCCTGCCCTGAGCCCCCTCCTGAATCTCACACCCCTCCTGCTCCCCAACCCCCTGCCCTGAGCTCCCTGCCACACCCTGCACCCCAACCCCCTGCCCTGAGCCCCTTCCTGCACATCACACCCCCTCCCACACCCCAGGTCAGGGATAGTGGTCACAGGTGAGGGAGTATTTAACACCGGCTAAGAGGTCTCAGGCTGACAAGGGCTACCCAACCTGGATGAGGAGTTAGGCAACGGGGGACGCAACCCACTGTGCTCTTCCTGAAAACGCATTGCAGCTGCAGGCACTGCAATAGGGGCAAGGAGAATATTCTGCTCAGACAGCTTCTGCACAGAGCCCCGCAGCTGGGTCACATGGTGGGAAACACATCTGAGCCCTCCCTATGCTACAGCTCCCACCATTGCTACCCCGGGGGCAGGGCGGGCGGTGCCCCACTGACAGATTACAGCTGTGGGGGATTTCCAGTTTATTGCCAGGGTTGGGTCACGTTCCTTTTGGGCCTCCACGATAACATCCCTGGAGCTTCCTGCAGGCCCTTCCTGCGGAGATACTCCTCATTCTCACTCAGCCAGCCAGAACTGGGAGAAAATAAATCACACCCTCTCTGCTGAGAATCTGACCCCCACCACCCGCCTAACTCACTACCCAGAGGAGAGGAAGGGTCCATCCTGCCTCAGTCTCCCAGCTGAGCGCTCAGTCCATGGATGTGGTGAGGGAAGGGGCTTCCACCAGACCTGGCCAGGATGCATGGGAAGCCCTGAATGACATGGGCCTTGAGGAGACAGCTCCTGCTGGGTAACACCACAGAATAGGACCCACACAAGGAGGGTTCACAACCATGCTGGCTATAGGGCCACCCAGCTCCCACAGTCCCATCCCCACTGCCTGGGCCACTTGTCATCTAGGAGACACCCACTGGCCACCCTAACCCCACACACAGCCTCCCGCGTTCTCCAATCCTGCTGGGGAGCCCCCCACGGCCTGAGCCAGCCACTCCCCTGTTTTTCCCACACACACTCAGCCTGAGGGACTCCCTTCCCCGTTGTCCCTGCAGTGCCCCCGGGAAGACCCGCCCCAGGCCCCTTCATGAGCTCGTTACCCATTTGTTGTCCAACTCGGGGCCCCTTTCCAGGGGCGCCTGGCAGCTCATACTTCCTCAGTGCTGCCTCCTCCGGAGATCCCCATGCGGGATGGGGCTGTGGTGGCTCCAGCTGGGTGCTCTGAGATTCCCATAATGCTTCAGGGGCATCCATCTCCTCTGGGGTCACGTCCTCAACCTTCACACGCACTGTGACCTGGGAACCAACCACATGGGTCACCGGGCAGCCAGGGGCTGGGAGTCGGGGGGGGGGAATCATACCTGAATAGTGCCCGTGGCAAAGGGCACCCTCTCCTCAGGCAGAAGCTGCTTTGGCCAGCAGGCCCTGTACCTAATGGGATAGGTAACAGGAATGGGAGGCTGAGGCTGTGAAGTATGAGCCTGGGAGGAGCTTGGACCTCAGGGAGAGGCAGGCTCCCCAGGACGCCATCTCTGGGAGGAGCTGAAGGAAAGGAGCCATGCCCTGTCATGCAGGACCCTTTGGTAATTTCACTAGTAGCTGCAGCTACTACGCCACTCATGTCCTGCGAGGTGAGGCAGCTCAGGAGACACCCCTACCCCACGGACATGTCGGCTGCATGTGAAACACAGCGGATGCTCAGGGCTGGGTCCCTAGGATCAGGCCATGCTGCATTGCCTCCTAACAGCACACGCTGGATTCACACGGACCCCAGTCTGTTAATGAGGCTCCGTATCAATTCAGATGTTGGGGGAGGCCACTGCACTCTCCCAGCAGCTGCAGGTACTAGTGAAATTATTGCCCAAGGGTCCTGCATGACTCTGCATAAGGGAGGCAGTGACATTTATACCCAGAGAGAACAGCAGGGTGTGCAGAGCAGGGAGCTGTGAAAATCCCTGTGGCTGGGGACCCAGCTGAGCCCTGAGTCCCAGACAGCCCTGACCCCAGTGCTGAGAGCAGGATTACACAGAACAAGCCCCACTCACATCCTGCCTTGAGAACTCCCTGTGTTCACCCAGCACCCAAACCTGCCCCGTCAAATTCCCTGCAGAGCCCAATGGAGCCCCCTGGACATTCCCCTGCACCTCCTCATACCTGCTGCTCTCATATCCCCGCCTGTTGCAGTCCTACCTGGAAATCCTCGGCCAGGGACACTGCCTGGGCACACGTCTCTGGGCAATGTTCAGAAACCCAGCTCTGGATTTCTTCTGGCAGGATGGTCAGGAACTGCTCCAGGATCAGCAGCTCCATGATCTGCTCCTTGGTGCGGATCTCCGGCTTCAGCCATCGATGGGAAAGTTCCCAGAGTCGGCAGAAAACTGCCCGGGGCCCCTCGGCCTCCTGGTAGCGGAACTGCCTGAAGCGCTGGCGCTGTGTCTCCATGCCAATGTCGCACCCTCGCAGGACAGCTGTCTTCACCTTCCCATAATCTCCAGCATCTCTGGCATCCAGGCTGCTAATGACCTGCCGAGCTTTTCCACTGAGGGCTGGCACAAGGCGGGTCACCCACTCTCCTCTGGGCCACTGGCAGGCTTCAGCCACTTGCTCGAAGGAAGCCAGATAGGCCTCAATATCCTCCTCCGGGGTCAAATCCAGCAGCGGAGGGTTTTTTGATGCAGGGACTGATGTCGGCACAACCTCAGCAGGTGTCCGTAAGCTCTGTAGCTCCTCCTGAAGTTGATCTTTCCAATACTGGGACATCCTGTCACACTGCTCAGTCCTCAGCTGTCGCCATCCGGTGCGGGACCATCGAGGATTTACTGAGATGATTGATCCCAGGACTGGCTCCTTCCCGTCTCTCTCCAGCTCATTCCCTGCTTTGGGGCCCGTTGGCTCTGCCGTTTCCATATTCTCTCACGAAGCCTGGATGTGGAGACCCAGGAGCTGCTGATCTGTCTTCAGGGACCAGCTTATCCCTGCTGGGGTCTGTGCTCTAGTTCTCCAACTTGCGTCCCTCCCTCAGGCCTTCTGGACACGTCCAGGCTCCTGGGGGGGCTGCAGCAAAACAATTCATCAGGATGTTACTGTGTGATGGGAGAGTCAGAATCACAACAAACAGAAGGGAAAAGAGAGACCTAGTCATGATTCACCCAAACACTCACCAACCCATAACCCCAGCTCCCTGCCCCCCAGCACAGACAGGCCCTGTCCCCACCCCACTGCCCACCCCCCACCCATAACCCCAAGTTCCTGCCCCACAGCACAGACAGGCCCATCGCCCACCCATCACCCCAGCTCCCGGTCGCCCCCCTCACCTCGCCTCCCCGCCTGGACGCAGGGGGAGGCCGGTTCCCCAGACAAAGAGCTTCCGCTCCGGCCAGCGCAGGGTTAATCCCTCCGCGCGGGGATTGGCGACGATCGCTGTCAGTCAGGTCTTGCCCCGCCCCCTGCCCAGCTGGGTCTGTCTCCGGGAGCGGGTTCAGCGGGAGCCCGGTGCGACCCCACTCCACGGGGATAGGCACAGCCCGACGCGGGCAATTCCCAGCAGATCCTACCGGGGTGCAAGTGGGGGTTCCCCTGCTGAGGTGTGGGGGCCTCTGTACTGGAGTTACAGGGCTGTGGGGGGCTCGGGGGCCTGGGCAGGGAGCTGGGGTTACAAGTTGGGGGGTGCTGTGCAGTGGCTCAGAGAGGAGCCTGTGCTGGGGCAGGGCAGGGAGCTGGGGTCCCAGGGCTGGAGGGGCTCAGGGAGCGACCTGTATGGGCTGGGGATGATGTTACAGCCCTGCACAAACACGTGTATTAAAGCCTGTACCTTAACCGAGGAGGGAGTTTATTAGAGTCCAGCCCATCCCCACCTGGGTCCTTATCATGGGGTGCCCTTTGCCACATCATATTGAAGTGGGAGCCAACTCTGCATGTTAAGAGCCTGTGTTTCAAAAGCGACAAGGAGTCCTGTGGCACCTTATAGACTAACAGACGTATTGGAGCATAAGCTTTCGTGGGTGAATACCCACTTTGTCAGATACGTGTGTTTCAAAACTGTTCTGAAGTCCACACACAAGCACAAATTGCCATGAAAAATCATCAGGGCCCAGGGTAGGATTTTGGTGAAAATGGGGTCACTCACTCTGGGGGGTCCAGAGATACAGCACCTGGAGTAGAGGGTCCATACACTTTGCTTGTTCTCATAATGTTCTTGGCACACAGCTGTGGCTGAATCCATGCACCTGCGCCACACCCCACCAACTAGAATTTACCCAATTGGGTTTGACCCCAGCTAGTGACCAACGCTCTGTGCCAGGCCAGGGAAGCAATATTTCAGCAGTTACTAGAGACTGTGTGACTCTACAAATGGGCTCATGTGCCAGTGAAAGTGATTTATGCAGGTACTGTGAGACAGGCACACCAGGAGCCTGGGCGCTGACTCTGGTCGCTAGCTTTGTGGACAAACTCAACTCCTGTTATGGTCGGTGGGTGGCTTAGGAAGCTGGATGACAGCCCATGAACTAAGGCAATGCTGAGGAGCGTGAGCTCAAGTCTTCTGCTCAGCTGGTTTAGAGAATGGCTGATGGGCACATTGCCACCCTCTGCCTTTGTTCTTCTCCAGGGGGCTACTCTTGGAAGTAGTTCCCTGGGTGCAGGCTGTATTATAGAGGAGCACTAGGGCCCATTATCCAGAGTGCTCCAAAATCCATGTATGTAGGGAGACTGTCTAGAAAACATCCCCTCTGAGCAAGGCCCCAGCCTGTCCTCATCAGAGATAACAGGCCTGTATCCTTCCTGAGCGCTGGAGGACAGCAGGGAAAATGTCCAAGGGTAGCGTGGGGGAAACTCTAAGACCTTGTCTTCACTAGGAAAAAGGGTGAGTTGAAGCCAGACTTAGCAAACACGAGATAGCTCAGTGCAACCTGAACTTGAGAATTTCCCTAGTCAAAACAGCCCCCTGAGGACTCAGTAGTTGCTTACATCCATCCATCCTTATGGTAAGGAATCCTGGAACATCCCCTCCGTGAACCCGGATTGAACCTTGTACCAGACTGCTAGTACTGGCCAGAACCAGCATGCAGCAGAGTGGTGTGTGTAACCCAAGGCAGGGTGGGGCTCTGGTAGGCACTGAGAACATGCAGGGGGTGAAACACTCCTCTATTTCCCTGTCACCCCTGAGGAGACAGTGGCAGCTGTTCTAGTGGCCCTAAAACGCTACAGCCCATTACAAACATTATCATAGAGTGTGAGGCCTGGTCTACACTACAAGTTTAGGTCGACTTTAGCAGCATTAAATCGAATTAAGCCTGGACACGTTCACACGACGAAGCCCTTTCTTTCGACTTAAAGGGCCCTTTAAACCGGTTTCTTTACTCCACCTTCGACGAGGGGATTAGCGATAAAATCGGCCTTAGCGGGTCGGAATTGGGGTAGTGTGGATGGAATTTGACGTTATTGGTCTCCGGGAGCTATCCCACAATGCTTCATTGTGACCGCTCTGGACAGCACTCTCAACTCAGATGCACTGACCAGGTAGACAGGAAAAGCCCCACGAACGTTTGAATTTCATTTCCTGATTGCTCAGCGTGGAGAGCACAGGTGACCGTGATGGAGTCCCAGGATCGCAAAAGAGCTCCAGCATGGACAGAACGGGAGGTACGGGATCTGCTCGCCATATGGGGAGATGAAACAGTGCTAGCTGAACTCCGTAGCAGTAAACGAAATGGCAAAATATTAGAAAAGGTCTCCAAGGCCATGAAGGACAGAGGCCATAACAGGGACGCACAGCAGTGCCGCGTGAAAATTAAGGAGCTAAGGCAAGCCTACCACAAAGCCAGAGAAGCAAACGGAAGGTCCGGGGCAGAGCCACAAACTTGCCACTTCTACGCGGAGCTGCATGCCATTCTAGGGGGTGCAGCCACCACTACCCCAACAGTGTGCTATGGAGAAACACACAGGGAAGCGGGTTTGGGGTACGAGGAAGATGAGGATGGAGATAATGTAGATAGCTCACAGCAGCAAGGAAGCGGAGAAACCGGTTTCCCCAACAGCCAGGATATGTTTATCACCCTGGACCTGGAACCAGTAACCCCCGAACTCACCCAAGGCGTGCTCCCATCCCCTGAGGGCACACAGGGGACCTCTGGTGAGTGTACCTTTGTAAATATTACACATGGTTTAAAAAGCAAGCATG